AAAACATATTCTAGGTCAGTTGTCAGCAAAAGTTTCTTTTTTAAAGGGCCAGATAAATATTTCAGGCTTTGGGGACTACATGGTCTCTGTCATAACTACTCAACTCTGCTATGTGCAATGCCAAAGCAGCCATAGACAAGATGTAGACAAATAAGTGTAGCTGTGGTCCAATAAATCTTTATTTACAAAAACAGGCTTTGGCTCTGGATCAAAATATTCTTACCTCTGCTCTAAACTATTCTGTGACCAACCCTCTGGATTACTTTGTATTGAGTGAGAAAGAAATTAAGAAGGAAGTCACTTATTTCAAAATTGCATTTTTTGGTTGAGAAATTATAATTCTTTTCCATGAAAAACTAAACATATGACTAAAACTTCACTGCTTATGTGCACAAATGATCTTTGTATTATAAAATATCTAAAATCTAGGGTCATAATTAATGTAAACCCTGTAAAATTTCCATCATTAGCTAAATAATGCTAGCATCGTAGATTTTACTTGAAAAGACCCATTCTTAATTAATGAGGTTGTTTCTGTATAGATACAATATTACACAGTAGTGACTTTTTCAAAATGGATGTCACTTATAGAAAGTAAAGAGAAGCTTTTAAAGTTATAACATCAGATGGAAAGTAACTAAATTATTGACTAGAGAATAGACTAAACAGGTTAATAAAGAATATTCTACATATTTATTATTTGTAAAGTGTAATCACTCAGAACTTTTGAGTTTTACATGGTCCTTGTCTTAAGATGTCAGAGATAATGACATTGCTATTTAAACATGGGGACTCTTTTGAACCTCATTTCAACACAAACCTTGATATTCTGTTTCTATTCTGTGTAAAAATTTTCAAAATCTGTTAGTGTTTACCACATGGTTAATAAGTATCTAAGTATACCAAATGCTATTGGAATATCAAGGACACAGGCTATGGAGGGCTTAGAGAAAATGCACAAAAGAAACTGTTCATAGAAACTGAGGAATATGGGAGACACAGGAAAATAANGGTAGATATCTTATTTAACTAGTCAGAAATATCTTCCTCTGCTACTAAGATTTTTTCTACATCGAGTTATTTTTTCCACAACTATTAATAGTATCTATTACGTGAATCACTGTTTATTTTAAATGGATAATGCCAAAATGTTAATATATTCTGAAATATCCAGAAGATGGACTTCATTATCCATTCCAAAGTTTAGTCAAAATGTGAATAATTTCATTTATTTCTTTTTTTACATTCCATTCTAATAACAAAATGTATCTGAATATAAAGTTATTAGAAAAAAATGTATAATTATTATCATTGAAAATAAATATTTCTGTTATCTGACTTAAAATCAGAAGAAAAATCATAATTATATAATTACTTGAGGAATTTTATTTTCACTCAGAATATATCACTGTATGAAACAGAAGAATAAATTTTATGTTTGCATATGTTGGCATAAATATTAAAATTTACCAACTAATGCTCCAAAATGAGACAAGTGCACCTGGTAAAGGATAGTTAGTCACTTTTTCATGAATGCTTAGTTAATGGGCAAGTAAAGCAGATGTCCATAGTGATGCCTATATTTGCTTTCCCTATGATTGTCCATTTGGCTTTCTATTGAATAAACAAGGACCTATGTTTTCCCTTTTCATTCCAATAGGCTTTGTACTAACAATATAATTGGAGAGTACAAATTAACTAAGTAAGAAGATGAAGTTTTCTAACAATAGATTGGGCTTTTGTTTTTTCAGATCCTAAAAATGGCTCCACTCTTGACGAAAAACTGAAGTCCTTCAAAGCTGCACTGATTGTCCTTTATATCCTTGTGTTTATAATTGCCATTGGAATAGTGACAGGTACAGTATCCTAGAGTCCTGAAACCCAGAAATTTATTCTATAAATTTGTTATTACAGTAGCAAAAAGAAATATTTAGTCTTTTGTATATGGGAAATTCAATAAGGGAAACTTCATATAACAAAATGCTTCTCAAATTTATTAAATGAAAAAAATGTATTCTTCAAAGGCATTAAGTGAAAAAAAGAAAATAAATAAAATAGAAGATTAAGATAAAAATATAGATATGTGAAGGTAGGATGGAAACAGTAGACTATTTCAAAAATATATTATCCTCCGACGTCCTATAGACATCTAATGGTGGGTCACACATTTCATGATAAGAGGTATTCTAGTTGCCATTGCAAAAGATATAAACATGGTCATTTACGTTAACAATGCCTGAATATGAAAACAAGTCAGTTGTTCAGGCAAAGCTCTTGTACTCCTAGTATTAAAAGCAGAAAGAAATATTCCTGTAAGCCTTCAAAAAGAGGAGAACTTTTAATATAATGGCCTTCAATTCAGTAATGCCTTTATAGTTTATATGGCCACATGTTTGATAAAGTCATTATTTAAAACATTTCTAAAAATAACCTGATAGCATCCCCTCACAAAAACTAATTAGAACACTTTACTTGGACTCAACATGAAGTTTTCCAGGTATGTATTTCTTTGCAGAGCCTGACCTGAACTTGGGATATATTTTAAGGTTTCCATAGGAGTGGCTTGCGTATAACTCAGTCAAACCTATAAATATTATTCCCTGCAGTAACATTTTTGATGAATTTGATTCGTTTGAATTTATATATCTTGTTGCTCTCTTCTCTATGACTGGCAGAATGTCTGGACATATGCTCTAACACAGCAGTTCTCAACCTGTGGGTCGTGACCCCTTTGGGGGTTGAATGACCCTTTCACAGGGGTTGCCTAAGACCATCGGAAAACAAAAAGATATTTACATTACGATTCATAACAGTAGCAAAATTACAGTTATAGAGTA